GAAATGTGTGTATTTGAATGATTTCAAGAAATTAACATATTAAGTGAAGAAAATTTAATAAGGGTATATTGGTAAAAGAATACAACAAAATATTCTATATTAGAAAACATGCCTATATATTTGGGACAATAGAAAAAGAAAACTCAGACTATATAATTACGATGGAGGGAGTACATCTAAATTATTTGGTGCTATTATTGATAATAAATCAGTTCATTACTTCTTTATGAACAAAACGACATGGTAAATAGCATTATTGTTCCTTCATTAGATTATTGTTCGAGTAACAATTCCTTTTTAACTTTTTATTGTATTCGAACAATCAGTGCTTAATGACAGAAGCTGTCCAAATCTTCATTAAATTATCACATAGCCCTCACGAAAAAAATGTTACACTCTTAACTTCTAAACATCGGTTCTAGTTGAAAAACAAAACCTAACTTTATAAAATGACACAAACGACTTAACGATTTAACACTTTTCGTGGCTATGAATCGATGGTGTGCAAGAAAAATTTCCATAAACGAAAACCGCACATNCACAAATGACTAAACGATTTAACACTTTTCGTGGCTATGAATCGAAGGTGTGCAAGAAACATTTCCATACACGAAAACCGCACATGAAATCAGTTTGCGCATCTTGTTTCTTGATGGGTGATTTGATTTAACATGACAATTATAATTACCAATTACACTAATAATTAAGTTACCATAAGTCAAATTGGAAGTCACCAAAATTCGTAGCGTAGAGCAGAAGGCCTAAAATTTGAGTTACGTGCATTTCAGGATCTCCTCCTTGGATGTTCCATAGACTTCTGCTTGGATTATAATAAAAGTAATGTTAGTAATCTTCAGTATGGTTACAAACACAGTCTAGACTTATTTAATTTTACCTATCATTTAATATCACATTAACGCCACATAGACTGTGTTTGCAACACCAGTGATGATGAACAGTGTTACTCTTATAATAAACGGTGAAATTTTATTATTTGGAGAGGTAGAGTACAAGTTTGATAAAAGTGAATTAATGATAAATTTGGTAAAATATTAGTTCGTATAATTTGAAGTATGTGATTAGTCGGCGTATGCGTACACTTATTTTGAAATAAAGTAGATCTCCAATTATAATTATTTATTTATAATTTATGTTCTTTGTAGTCGATGTATTTGTATATTCAACTTGATCATATCTTTTACTTTTGAAATTAAATAATTGCATGTTTGACACACAAAGTTGAATTATATAGGAGAAAATTACTTCCACTTTTATCCAAATTAACAAAGAAAATGTACAAAGAAAAAGAGGGAATAAGTGATAGGCAGATATGCGCATTTTACCTCAACGGATCGTGTTATGAATTATGATAGCCCCTTGTTTCCTT